TTTAGCTGTCGCATAATGTTCTTCATTTAAAGTCATCCACAATTCTTCATTCAAAGATAAAATGCGTTCATCTACTCTGCATAACTGTCTACGAGTCCAAGCAATTCGTTCTCTTACTAGTGCCAACTCGGCTTTCATCAAGATCTTTCGCGCATACTTAGTATGATATTGCGTTGAGATGCGTAATCCTTTAGGAACAACCTTGTTGTCTCGACACCTTTTCAGAAAGGCGAGGTTGTTAATCAATCTTGAACGTTGATTGGTAAGCCGATCAAGTCTTTTAATATAAACGACACTCTTGTATATAAAAGGAGCGTGTGAATTAAACAAGTCACATATTATTAGCACTGATGAAGATCCGGGCTTACGGATCGAAAGCTTTGCAGTAATAAATTTACGTGGTGTTTCCACAAACAAAAACAATTATATTTTATCGCCATGCAAACATTCAAAGAACTTATTACGGTCCTCTATGGAGAGTGTATACATTCAGCGTTTAAAAGACTTGATCGGCTTACCAATCAACGTTCAAGATTGATTAACAACCTCGCCTTTCTGAAAAGGTGTCGAGACAACAAGGTTGTTCCTAAAGGATTACGCATCTCAACGCAATATCATACTAAGTATGCGCGAAAGATCTTGATGAAAGCCGAGTTGGCACTAGTAAGAGAACGAATTGCTTGGACTCGTAGACAGCTATGCAGAGTGGATGAACGTATTTTATCTTTGAATGAAGAATTGTGGATGACTTTAAATGAAGAACATTATGCGACAGCTAAAAGAATGATCTCTGCGTCTTCTACGAAAACTTTCAACAAAGCACGTTCCACTCAGATTGCCAAATTCACAAAATTGACGTCCTTTGGTCGGACGCATCGCAGACAAGAAGATTTGGCCAGTCATCCACTACAACGCACCGTTATCAATATGAGTGCTAGAAGACTTACGCCGGTTGAAGAAGATTTTATTTTAATTTTTATTTTAACAAATTTTATTTGGATCGATATTCACAATTTTTAACAAACAAAAGAAAATAACAGAACAAATATTACATTAAGTTAAAATAACCTAGATATCAAATGTAGATCCAAAAAGGTAAGGTACGAACGGGACTCTTATAAAAGGTCCCATGCAGGGCACCCACCTCCAAAATAGTAATCATGATAACAAATAGAACATCGCGAACTCAAACTCGCTAAAGGATTCAGGCAAGCAAAAAATTAAATGGAATAGTTAAACTCGAAATTCAAAATAGTCACCGCTTCAGAGAGTTTGAGTAAACGTGGCTCAATTTCCTGAAACTGGGCGTGTCAAGTAAACTAAGAGACAGATTGAACATGCATGTAAAGGTAAAGGCCAGCTTCCACACAGGAAGATCCTCCGCTGAACAGAAACGGCGGGAGAGCTTTCATTGTGTTAAATTCACGACGTCCACGTCATTCGTGTTGATTAAATTCATTTAGTTCGAAACCAGAGGTTCCAAACGAAATCTCGCAAAACAAACTGAAAACTTTCCCGTCCACCCCGATCCCGAAGACCCTCCCGAATGGAGACTAGCCTTTACATGATAGACAGAAACATATTACAGATAGAGACAGACAAATATACAAACACGACAAACTGACTTAACTATTTCCTGTGGCAAGGACAGTCCCGTACCAGTGACCACGTACAAGATAACTCAACATCATAGACTGACTTAACAAGTTCGGTATATTTACGTTTAAGATAGTTTTTAAAGGAGATCGGACTGGAGAATGTATCTGGATGAACGACTTTACATATACAGTTCCATGGTTTAACTATCCGGTTGAAGTATGACGATTGAAAGGTCGTCGTTCTACACAAGGGTGTTTGAAGCACAACACTAGCAGCTTGACTGAGTCTAGTGCGTCTATGTTCAATGAATGAAACATAACTGTCCATTTTAAGGTCGATGTGGCCATACAGCATCTTGTAGAAGAACACGAGATCTTTGATTTCTCTGTCGTATGTGAGAGGCAATAGTTTCAATGTCATTAATCGTTGTTCGTAAGGTATTTCACCAGTCTTTATTCTTAATATCCATTTTGTCGCTCTCCTTTGAACTCTTTCAATTCTTCTGTTGAGTTGACTGTGATGATTTGAAGACCAAACTTGTGTTGCATAGGAGAGTTGTGATTTAACTAGTGTCAGGTACAATGAACGTCTGATTTTGACGTTTGTTAATGATAAGCATGTTCGTTTTAGCACACCAAGTTGTTTATTAGCTTTCGACACGATCTCATTAACGTGAGTTTCCCAGTGAAGTTTGTAGGAGAGGGTTACTCCAAGATCTTTCTCGTTTTCAACTCTCGACAAATAATTTCGACCGAGGTGGTAGGGATAGGTAATTGGATCTTTCTTACGTGTCACCGACAGTACCTTACATTTAGAAGCGTTAAATGTTATGTTGTTGTCTTGAGTCCAAATATCTAACTTATCTAAGGTCTGCTGAAGCTTTTCACAGATGTCTTGGCTCTTGGATTAAATTTCGCTGTGGTACCCCGTGTTCTTCCTAAAGAAGAATTCGTACAACGTTTGGAACCGAAGTTATACCACATGACGAACGATGAAGCTAGTAACATCCGCGTCCAAATCACCGAGGTTCTACGACGTGCAACGCTTCCAGCTTCGAATTTAACCAAGAATAAGAAGGATGCATTGAAAAACTTAAGAGCAGATAAGTCAATACATATTTTAAAGGCTGATAAGGGTAACGCTACGGTTATTTTAGATCGTCTAGAATATGATAGTAAAATCCTGGCTCTTTTAAACACTTCAACTTATAAAGAGCTTAAAAGAGACCCTACAGCTAACGTTGAACGTAAAATATGTTCCAAACTATCTGGTTTTAAAAAGGCAGGTATTTTGTCTCAAACACTTCATAATTGTTTGAGACCTTCAGCTACTGTTTGTCCAAAATTTTATGGTTTACCTAAGATACATAAACCTAATGTCCCACTAAGACCTATTGTAGCGTCCATAGGTTCGCCAACGTATGCCCTGGCTAAATATCTCGCTGAGATATTGAAACCAGTTGTTGGAAAAACAGATCATCATGTAGTAAATTCTAAAGAATTTGTAACAAAAATGGAACAAATTACATTGGGTAAGAATGACATTCTGGTAAGTTTTGACGTAGTTAGCTTGTTCACTAATGTTCCAGTTGAAGAGGCTTGTAATATCGCGAAAGAAAGACTTCTTTCAGATATTACATTATCTTAAAGAACTAATCTTTCTCCTGAGAATGTTCATGATTTGTTGAAACTATGTTTGACCACGGCATGTTTTCAATGGCGGGAGAAATTCTATGAACAAACAAACGGCGCTTCAATGGGAAGTCCATTGTCGCCTGTTATGGCTAATTTGTTCATGGAGGAATTTGAAAGGAAGGCCTTAGCTACTGCAAAGTTGAAACCAGCTTTCTGGTTCCGATACGTGGATGATACATTGAGTAGCTGGTCTCATGGACTAGATAATTTACAAAAGTTTCTAGACCACATTAATAGTTTGCATCCATCGATCAAGTTTACTTTTGAAGTACAGAAGGATGCAATAAAACTATACCGTTCTTAGATGTTCTTTTCACTATACATGATGATGGGTCGCTAGGACATAAGGTTTATAGGAAACCAACACATACAGACAGGTATCTGCATTATAATTCATTTCATCATCCTAGTATTAAAAACTCTGTGTGCAAGACACTCATCAACCGAGCGAAAACAATTTGTGAGGTAAGTAACATTGACGATGAATTAGAACATTTAAGAAATGTTCTAAAAATGAATGGTTACCCACGGCATTTCATAGATAATGCTATGAAAACGCCACAAAGTATAGAGCAGAAGATTGAATATCAGTCGTCTGTTTGTCTGCCATACATTGGAAAGAATTTCGAGGAATGAAGCAGGTATATAAAGGTATACCATTCCAGCGAAAACAAATTGTTTCGAGCTCTTTGCACACATAAGGACAACGTAAATGAATCTCAGAAACCTGGTGTGTACCGCATTCCTTGTGAATGTGGTCTGGTTTACATTGGTGAAACTGGTCGAAATCTCTCAGTACGTCTTAAGGAACACAAGACGAATTGCGAGAAAGCCGAGCAAGATAAATCTGCTGTGGCTAAACATATACTTGGACTTACGACCATCGTATATAAAATGGGACGAAGCAACCATTTTGGCGATTGATAGTCATAAGTTCTCTCGCAAAATGAGAGAGTCAATTGAAATCGAGAAGCACAATACTATAGATCAGGAGGGAAAGCCACTAGATAGTACGTGGCGTGCTCTCTTTAATGTGCAAAATTAATTTCTCTGTCTTGGATGCGCGCGCGTTAATTGGAATCACTTCACTACGTTTGAAATGACGTGGTTGATGTGCCGTTTAATTAAATTTCAAATGACGCGAGCCAACAGATCACGACACTCTTGTATATAAAAGAGCGTGTGAATTAAACAAGTCACATATTATTAGCACTGATGAAGATCCGGGCTTACGGATCGAAAGCTTTGCAGTAGTAAATTTACGTGGTGTTTCCACAAACAAAAACAATTATATTTTATCGCCATGCAAACATTCAAGGAACTTATTAGGAGAAGCGATGTTTTACAATATATTGCACTTTATTGCACATTATCCAGCACTGGTGCAGCTAGGATTCCCATTAAATAATCTTGTATTAAGGAGATCTAAGGGACTTTGTGGGAGCCCCTTTTGAGCGTGCCTCCCTCGCCCTCTTGCATGGCGGTGCTGCATGGATAGAAGTGACTAAATCAACGTTTCCGTTTAAGAAATATAGTCATTAAATAGTATATCAAAAAGTTTTTATTCATTTTATCCAATATATATATTGCAGGTTGCATCCCAATCATTATGGGGAATCAGGTTGGTAATCCTGGCTAAACCGGGACATACGAATAGAATTAGTCGGATTGAAAAATCAAGTGTGAAGACGGGAATAGCCAATACATTAGGTACGTGACAAGTTCGTAATTTCGAATTTGTAGTTTGTACAGTAGATCCCCAAATATTAATTAAATACTATAAAAAATAATGAATCAGGGGATACCATGCAGACTGAATCGCTAACAAACTAATTCCATTAGTCCTATCTGAATAATTTTAGGAAATAAAGGAGGCGTTGGAATTTCGTTTGGCTTTTTGTCCACGTCGTTGTGTTTTATCAACTGTCATCTTGCATCAGGGAACGAAACTTTAAGAAAACAAAGGTATTTAGTTATTTGTTGTGTCTATAGCGTCATGTATTCTCGTCCAGTTATACACCAATCACCTAGTGTCAATTTCTAAGGTACTCGAGTGCTGTGCATCTATAGAACCTCAAATATACCTCCAACACGGCTTCATGTACTATTTAAAACATGAGCAGCAGTGTTTTATCAGATATAAAGATACGAGGCGAAGCCGAGTATTTTTAGGTCTGATAAAACACTGCTGCTCATGTTTTAAATTTCTTCAAAAACAATCGATCTAGTGAGTTCATCTAGTGAAGTAATTTTCAAAAAATACGTTGTGTAAGTCGAGAAAATCAACGTTAAAGTTTATGTAAATCTAGGGAAATCTTTTTCGCATATATAAGATACGACACGCTTATGATTTTTCTTTGTGTTTTCCTCATGAATTATTAATGAGTTTTTGAAGAAGTGTATTAAACAGTGACACAACTTGTAAAAGTTGATACATTTTATAGAGGTTTATATATATATATATATATATATATATATATATATATATATATATATATATATATATATATATATATATATATATATATATATATATATATATATATATAATTTATATAATTTATAATATCACGATATTATAAATTCTATCACAAGCGGAAAAGAGGTGGACGTCGTGTACTTTGATTTATCCAAAGCATTTGACAAAGTGCCCCATAATTTGTTGCTCATGAAACTTTAGCAAGGGGGGATTTTCATTTATTAAAAGGAGGGGTAGAAAAATTTCGGGTGTGGTGCAAGCGGCCCCACTCAGTGAGCTTCAACAGGGGTTAGGCATTTGGGTTAAAGCCTTTCACACAAAATTGGAGGGGTGAAGCGAAATTTAGGTGAGGTTGAACACTTTATTAGAGGGGTTAGAGAGATTCTAGGAGGGGGTTAACCCCCCCCCCCTAACCCCCCAGTTTATTCCGCCCATCAACTTTAGTCTCATGGTTTTTCTGGCCCACTGCTGGAATCAGAGTTATCTCACTGGTAGAAAGCAGGGAGTACTCTTGGAAGGCGCAGATTGGCTACCGGTAATTTCTAGTGTTCCCCAGGGGTCTATTCTTGGCCCTTTATTGTTTTTAGTTTACGTAAATGATGCCCCCAGTTGTATTATTATTGCTCTCTTCGCTGCATGATGACTCAAAATTGCATCAGACGATCGACAAGGCTGATGATTATAGCTCATCCCAAGGAGATTTGGATTGTCTGCATACCTGGACTTTGAGTTGGGGTTTAGAATTTAATTCTTGCATATTTCGAAAAAAAAAGTTGTCTCATGCTAACAAATTGAGTGTGCGCTTACAATTGTCAACCTTGGGATCAGGGCCGTCCTCAATTCTTCGATGTTTAATTGATTTTCCTAGTTAGTTTTTTCAATTAAAAGGGTTGTAATGCGCCTTAAAAACCATCCTTTAAACTGAACTAAACTATTGTGCCATATTGTTTGTATTTTCATCATTTACAGCATTATAGTAAGAACATATATATCCGCTGCTGTACTAGAACGGACTAATATCATGGCTTTGTGCTCAAAGAAAGTGTGTTTTTTATAGGCGACAGCTAAACTACATGGACATACTGAAAGGTCTGAATCTTGGTCATAAAAGTGCGTACGATCTAACAAATCAATTTCACCACGTTTTTTGGTTCGGAGATTTAAATTACAGAATTGATCTGCAGTATGAGGTGAGTTCAGATGATCTGCAGAAAGTGAATCAAGGAAATAAAAAATGGTAATTCTCATTAAGTGTTAAACTGCATTGATTCAAATGCACCGCTTCAATTATCGTCAACCGTGTCACACTAATGGTAGGTTTGTCCCTACCTATTAAATATACATGCATCCCAAATACATGCATGTTTACATAAGAATACTACAAGGTAATAATTATACAGTTATTCTTCAAATTACTGGACAGTATTTAAATATTAACATAATAAGATTTAAGTTCTTTGTATGTTTGCATGGCGATAAAATATAATAGTTTTGTTTGTGGAAACACCACGTAAATTTATTACTGCAAAGCTTTCGATCCGTAAGCCCGGATCTTCATCAGTGCTAATAATATGATTAGCACTGATGAAGATCCGGGCTTACGGATCGAAAGCTTTGCAGTAATAAATTTACGTGGTGTTTCCACTAAAAAAACTATTATAATAAGATTTGTAATACATTCTATCACAAATATGTTCATCCTTGCTGAGAATGACCGTGATATGTCTATATCTAGGAAATTATGCAAGCGATAATTGGTATGGACTACAAGAAGCTGTCAAGTGAAGATCAGTTAAAGAAGGAGCAGGATATAGGAAACGTATTTGTTAATTTCCGTGAGTACATATAGCGAATACCTTACTTATACATTCGCTGTTATAGCGTTATTTTAAAATAAGTGCAGTGCTTCTTCTGATGTTCGAATTGAATATATAGTCCCCGGAAGCATTTACGTTAGTGAGTACACTGTACGTCCGCAATGTTTTATGGGATACTCGTGCGGAAGTAAATATATTCAATAAATAGTCATATTCGTTTACCACCACCCCACCCGCATACATTCCAGGGTTATTTGCGCAAAAACTGGATGACGCAATGATTTCCGAGGGTTCTGTTCACGGTCAGTATAGTTGAAATATGAAGAGTTTAGATCGCCAGTATGAGCCAATATGTTCATGTCAAATTTGCACTGAAGCTTAAATTTCAAAGTGATCAGCACACTGTCTTAACCATGGTTGAGTAATGGCCATCTCTTACAATTATTGGTCCTGTGTTGCCACTGGGGGAAACTGGAGAAACACTGCGTAGGCTGCGTTGTTTGAGACAGTCAAGCTAGAAGCACACTTCTACTTCTACCTGATACATGGGAAATTATAATCAGACAACCCATCCTGCATGTTGAAACAGTATTTAGAATATTTGTGTCTGTGAGCGCCAGCTATTCACGTATGCATGTATGGTGTGTATTTGTAGATGAGAATGTGCCTCACTTTCCGCCCACATATCGATACAAGAGAGGAACACGTGAATCATATGAACATATTAAAGTGAAGCGAGCTGGGGTAGGTTTACTTTTTTACAATTTGTATCGCGCACTTCATGTAATAGACGGCCAGCCAGCCGATCAAAATACGACTGTCGATGGCATTTTTTGTTACAAGTAAACAACAAGCGTTTTCTTATAGCTTAGACACTGGTGAGTCACGTTTGGTATGTTGCCACCTCTGATTTTAACGAACGAAGAGAAAATTTTAAGCATTTGAAAAGTTTGCCTATTAAATTACTGATACTCCCAAAAAAATGTGAAATTTGAAGTTCACTTAAATTAGCATCGTTTATATCGTTAGAAAGAGCATAAAAAAGTACATATAAGACATTTAAACGAGTAATACGATTAATTTATCCAAATTCGAGTTATGAACACTTAAAAATAGGTAAAATGCGGTGAATGACGTCACAAAAGCTGTTTTGTAGCAACTTTAAGCGCCTGTAACTCAAAACAGGGTTATAAATTCACACTTCTCACTTAAATGTTCTATACCTACTTTTTTCCGAACTTTCTGATTATATACGTGATTTTTTCTGAAAGTTGGTTTCAAATTTCACAGTTTAGTGAGTATAGCAATTTTAATAGGCAAAATTTTCAGATTCTCAAAATTTTTCACTTTAAAGTCAATATCAGAGGTGGCAACCTATCAAACGTTGTTCTCCAGTGTCTAAGCTATACGAAAACGCCAGTTGCCAGCTTGTAACAAAAAATGCCATCAATGGCATTTTAGAGACACTTTTATTGAGGTTGGCTGGCCGTCTATAATGTAGCCTGGCATGGCAAAAAATGTGGCATTTTATATGTCGTATATAGTTGTCTCATATATTCAATAGTGAGCTTAAGCAAGCAACGTTTTTGTCAACATGAACGTCACCTAAAGATTAGTATAACTAATATTGGAGGCATTTTGCATCATAGCGCTCATGCAAGGAAGCAAACAACTATGAAAATCTTATGTTTTGTCATATGTTGAAGATTACCCCAAATTGACACATACCCAATTTGGTTATCATTCCATGTTTCGCGCACCAATATAGGTTAGGGGTTAGGTATTAGGGTTAGGTTTAGGGTTAGGTTTAAGGTTAGGGTGTGTTATATATGTGTATGGAGGTATCTAGTGAACTTTTCAGTACACTATAATATCCATTATACATAACGTTTACTATATTGGTGCGCGAAACATGGAACGATTACCCACAATTTTTAATCCAGTCCCCCTTCGGCAATCTGACGTCCGTGTTGACAAAAGCGTCCTTTGCTTAAGCTCCCTATTACTTGTTGACACTATACCGAAATGTAAACACAGTTTTGAATCCTTTTAGAATCGCATCAACGTCCCTTCATGGTGTGACAGAATATTATGGAGATCGTTTCCAGATTTAACTGTCAGGCAAAACTCGTACGGTACGTTTTTCATTGTCAACAAACAACGCAATTAATAAAAAAGGTGCAGCATGTGCATGTAGATAAATATAACATTCTCTCAATTCACAATTAGCGAAACGCATGCATGGAGTATATGTGGGTGATTTGTGTTCGTGCATGATGTGGCACGACATTCATGATCAATTATCCATGCGTACAAATTCCTTTTCAGGTTGTACAAATGATATTGTTTCTAGTGATCACTCGCCCGTTTTTGCGTCGTTTGATGTTCCAATAGCAAGTCAATTTGTGGCCACTCCTGGTGAGTATTTTATTCAACTTACCTTGCTGTCAACCATATTATATAGATATTATAATATAGATAAAAAATACTCTGATAATTCTGATTGGCTAAGAGCAGTGCAATTATTTTTGAAATTGCACACTGTGCAATTACTGCAGGTCAATTAACAAAACAATGGAAACAAAGCAGAAAAAAATCAACATGACGGCGGATAGTAGCAAAGTAAATTTTCACTTTTTGACGACTTTTTTTGCACACTTTCAATGGAAAATCGGACGTTGATATAACTTAAAGTGCCTATATCACTTGTAGGACTTTTATGGATTTGAGGATATAGGCCTTTAAAAAACGGACTGTTCCTGAGTCCCTGCAGCCTCCTGGGGTCTAAACACGGCTATTGAAGTTTGGCCTTTGTAGAAACTGTCCATTGTGCATAGGAGCCTGGGACTCAGGAACTGTAGGTAGTTTAGAGACCTGTATCTTCGAAATTATTGCACCAAATCAAAAAAGCTTTTTAACTAATTAACTAACTTTTTACGCTCTTTTCAAATCCATAAATGTCCCACAAGTGATATAGGCACTTTAAGTACAAGGAGCACATAAATTAAAAAGGTTTTCTAACAAGCAATGAAAACAATACTTAATTGGTGTAGGTGAGTACATAGCAGTGGTGTCAAGTATAACGAAGTAAGTGTACTTCGTCACTGTACTTGAGTACCTCTCTCCTCCACAGAGCCTCCTTAAGTATTTACAAATAACTTACATGAAGTTTCCTGAATAAAAGTGAGCGCGCGCGGTGTGATGGGAAGATTGAAATGAAGACGGGAAGGCTCTGCCAGATAATGCAACGAAGTATGGTTTTTGAACCAAACTTGTTGTTTGACCTTTTTTTAAACTTGAAATCGACGGAAATGTGGAAGAAATTGAAATAAATCTCCATAATCTGAGTATCGAATCTATTCGATACTAGTTTCGTATTCACTTATGAAAACTTTACTCGAACCTGCCATTTTCCCTATTTCCCTTTATTAAGTGTACATTTTCATCTGCCTAGGCCTATAGGACCTTCTATTTATATTTCGACGCTTTTTCGCACGAGAAGACAAAGGGCGGGCGAAAGTCATGAAGTCGATTAACCTGTAAACAACTGCCACCAGCCGATTAAAGATCCTTGGTCTAGGTTGCATTTGCATGCCATGAACAATATAATTTTCAGGGGAATTATGATCATGGATAACGAATAGGATATGTTTTATCACCACAGCACTGATTATTATTGTTATCACAATTCTGCATGTATAGATAAAGGAAGACCACAGTCACAACCAAATAAACCTTCGTGCAAAATTAACATCCCATTCATAAAAGTGAAGGTAAGGTTCATCAATTCCTAATAATTCAAGTATTTTGCCATATACGTATGTGCATTATTGAACTCTTATATCATCCTTTTCAATAATTAAAATGTAATGTTATATTTTCAGCTTTATTTCAATCTTTTATTTTTCCTTTTCGGAAATGATTTATAGACATCGTTACTTGGAAATATGTACCAATTTGCCTTCTGAATGTATAACCTATTTTAACCCAATTTAACTAAACCACCTTTTTCTAACTCTATCTATAATTATGTACATAGCGTTTCATTATTTTACAGGTCAAGACTGTGAGCAAAACGGATTTTTATCTCGAATTTCATTCAGCCTGCTTAGCAAGTAAGTATTACACGCACGCCCAGCCACTTCGTGATCGTGTTTACATTATATATGGAGACAGACTGGTTTCCAGTCGATATATTTCAATGTGTGCGTCTTGGTATATCGGACTGGCCAAAAACCGGTCTAGTCAAAACATTACAATGTGTTTCTAGACCATTGAAACATGTAAGGTCAATACATTGTGTTGAAACATATACTGTACTTGTGATAATAGGTCTTCTCGTTTTATTAGCATTTAATGATTTTATTGACGAAGAGAAACCCTGTTTTATTTTCTACGAGTTTGAGGATTTGAACAGTTTCCTTCTTGCTTTAGGCCCTTATACGCCGTGCCAAATTCGTTATCGCCCAAAAGTTCGGCTTGTTCATCACTTTTGTCCTGAATGGAATGAAATCGTCTTGTTACATTATACAAATAGGCCTAATGAATGTTTATGAGTGCAATGGTAAGAATATTTTCATGAGACGACAACCGGCGACAGCCGAGTTGAATGGAACATTCCATCTTTCCCCGAACGAAAATATTCTTACCATTGCACGAATAAACATTCATTATTTGTTTTATATAATACCAAAATAGGAAGTGGAAATTGAATTTTCTATTCAATATCACTTGACCATAAAACAGCCGATTAAACGATCAGAATTCAATAAGGTATTATATAATATTAATTCCTCGCCATCGTACCTTCTAGCGCATGGTATAGTAAAGAAGGGAAATTCTTCTTGTAAACAAAAGAAAAAATATGTTATTGATGTGTAAATACGTGTCTTTCAGTTCCAAGTTCCCGTTCATCCATATATCGTAGAATATTGTATACTTTATATATGAGAGCCATATTCTATACCTTAAACTCCAACATCGTACTCATGCAGGGCTTCATAGTTTTACCCTACGCTTCCTGGCCACCATGCATTCTATAGAGAGCGTTAATTTTCAAACAGATTAGTATTATGGGAAGCTCGTATGCAGTTACAGACTTTGAAGTCAATGGAAGAAAAACAATAAAGTTTTTTGAAATGAAATTGTGCAAATTTTTGGGCGAGGTTGTAACTCTTTAGGGCGTGATGATTGTGTGACTTGGGAGCCTGCCGATACTTTGGTGACGTCCATAGTAATTTACGTAGATTTCATCCGTTGTAAACATTAAGATCTACTAACGCTCGTATTTTATCAAACACGTGCATGCACCGAATTCAACAACGCAGAGAACAGCTCGAAAATTAAAATTAATTCTGAAGAAGACTCGCAAAAAGAAGAAAAATGCTGTTATGGATTTATTGAGCTAAAGGAGAAACCATATATAATTGCTCATTTTTTTCAGCAAGTGTAAGAAGTAAGACAGGCAAATCATCAAGTCCTTGGGACCCACCACGCGCTGTGAACTCCAAACCTACCCTCACTAGTTATTTGGAGTGGACAGATTCATTGCCAGAGGTTAGTTTTATTTTTATTAACAAAAACTGCTCATGGCATCTCAGAACCGCTCTACCGTTATAATTGGTTTATTATAAATTGTATTTTTAGCTCAATCCTATCCTTGACAATCCCGACTATCTTCGCGAACAACATATTCTCATAGCTGTCAAGTCTGAAGCTGGTGATGAATCTTATGGTAAGTGCTGAATATTCCATAAAATGAGAGAATCTTCTGATTTAATCCAACACAGTTATCAAAATGTACAGTCATCCAGGTATATTGCGGTCTCATGACGAAGTTAGGCATTACTTTATATTCGCTGCGTGAGTTTGTTAGTGTGTTAGTTTGTTTGGAGTCATAAGCCTTGATATTTATTCAAAAATAGTCTTCGCGCTTGTATGCACTTGTTATGCGCATGCGCCAGGGCAGCGCACTGCAGTACTATGTCTGGATCTTTTTATTATTTTCTACACAGGAGAGCAACAAAACTTTTATATGATTTTTTAAAATCGTGCTTTAAAAAGTGGCCGCCTGTGCATATCATATATATGGGGGAGGGGCACTTTGCCCCGTGCCTTCAGCTCAAAAGGGCCCCACAAAGAAACAAAGACCCTTAAAAGTTCTTGAGACGAGTTTGCTTAACTGAGAGAATGAATCCTAGCTGCGTTAGTGTCAGATTATATACAGTAAAGTGTAATATCTTGTGAAACACCGCTTCTCCCGTTTTACAATTATGACGTCATGGAGGCCCCCTGTTTATATCGAATTCATTTTTGGCACAACATGATTCCCTTTTGCTCATTGCATTTCATTATAATTATTGAAATTATTTGGGTTCGTATAAATAATAATTCGTTAATTTAATACAGGTGAGTGTGTGCTGTCGCTGAAGGGCCACCTTTTTAATACTCCACAAACGTTCGATTCAGGCCTTACCCATGGGGGTATTAAAGCTGGTGAAATAAGGTAAGCATCATCCTCTATCTCTCAAATATGTTTCATAAATGATTAGAGGCCGTCTCTGTCAGTCGTTGCGTTAATTTGCAGTCAGTCGTGGAATCAACGCATGTGATTGGTTCATGGCCACAACGAATTAACGTATTCAGTTTATGTTTAATGGTGCATTTGTTTATTGTGCTGTAGAGGTAGCATGAATGTTCTGAATACAAAACAAGCAGCTGTTTTGAGAAGACCGCCAGTACACGCGAAGCCTGACATAGGTACAGTATTATTAAATTTTCTAATTTCTTAATTAGATTTATTAGAGCTTATTACCTTATTTTCCACTCGATTATAGCAACGAAAATAACCTCGAAGTGCTAAAATTCCTTTATCTTTTCCCTTTTCTGAAGTACTTGGCCTGGATTATTGGATGTATAACACCTGCTAAAATTCTCTATTCTGTTTTTATTATCCTGTTTTTGTTGCGGGTCATTCAGGTTTTTCTTTGGTTATGCTATAATAGAACGTCTGCACATTTGACCATATGTATCTTTAATTAAGGTCACAACGCAATTTTATGCGATAAATTTAACCTGGTAACGAAGCGGTCTGTTTCTGCATTTCAGGTGCTAAGAGTCCATCTGTCAACAGACCGTACAGTTGTGTCGCAACAAACCTCAGTGACAGCATTCCTACATCAAGAATAAAGTGTGAGCATCGTATACTTTATTGTTGTTTCACTCATACGATTTGGTAGTTTGCGAACGCAGACTGTCTCTCGTCTCAGTCTGCAAAGCAGACTAACGATTTGGAATATACCAACTGGTTTGCAGATGAGTATCATTGTTATATGTAACAGCAAGATACGCGTATGTAAAAATATGCAGGGTGTCCCAAAAATGTATCTGCTATATGTTTTCTGGTATACTAAAGGTTTAGTAAAAGTTTCATGTATTTACACTGGATGAAATAACTAATTTTTCTATTGATATTTGGTATGATCAAAATACCCGACCGCAGTTGGCTTCTAGATCACCATGTAGATCACACAACCCGCAGTTGGTAGATCACCATGCAATATTCAAACTTGTCCAAACATGCAAATTAGGTAAAATAAATAGGAATGATTTATGAAATTTAAAAGTTAAAATTGGTGAAGCTCGACAAGACCTATACGACTATTCATCTTTTCTGTCGCAAAGTAGCGAATTCAGGAATGAATTAAGAATGAAGACAATTCCATTTCTCTGTACACCTGGGCTTCTACCTTATTTTTATATAGGACCTATATTTATAGTTAATACCAAATCATAAATATCTTGGGATTATGGTATTATGAATTAACGGAGCCTGTTATTTTGTATTTTACTGCATGGTTCAGTTCCTTTCACCAGACATGTTCTTGCCGTCAAATTTGTAATTCCGTTTTGCCTTCTATAATTTCCGTAACCGTCTTGTTGTTGTGCAGGGTGACTTACTGAGTTTTCTTTTTCTCTAGCTGCGTCTCTTGGTAGACAACCAAGCCCGGTCAGACTAAGGTCATCAGGTAGATAATACGGTTTGCTTGAACAATTTGTTACGATCACTAGTTTTGTAATGGCTGTGAATGTTAGAAAATCTTTTTCATTTTGTAGGCCAAATGCCCCTTGATACTACGAACATAAGCACATACATGTAAGTGGAACAAGAGTCATTAATCTTTATCCCTGTTCCTGGGTACATCTTTTGTATTGATGTGTTTATTTATTGAACAGTTTGAGATTAAATTATTATGATGAACTATTTATGATTAAGTCTCTTAACGATCACCGACTGTATACTTTTTATTGATACTTTTCTAGCACGTTACCTGATTTTTCATCTGTAACAACATCAAATGTATGTACCTATATGTGCGTCTTGGAGCATAGACAATCCAGAAGACAGTCTTCTGGATTGTCTATGCTTGGAGTAAACGGCAAACACGTTTTGCTCAAAATCTCTTCTACAACCAAATATTTGTACTAAAACCACAACTCACAAGGAAAACGTGAACACATGTTTTTTTATTGAGTATGCCAAGTTTCATCAGGTTGGCATCAGCTAATTAATTGTAAGTGTTATTCATTCCTGATGAAATTTAAATTGGCATGTCCCATGTATAAGCGTTCTCTGAATCTCTGTGCAATTTTTTATTTTTTAAAGAGAATGTGGTATAGTAAACAAAAATCTATTGTGTAGTTACGTGCCACAGTCAGGTAATTGCTGTTTATTCCAAAACGGTGCGATTTTGAAAACAGAATTTTTTCATATTTTTATTTAATAATATGTCACTATGAAAAGGGTGTATTGAACTACTGTATAGTTTCGATATACAGTTTAAAATAAAATATGTAAACAAAAACACATGCTGTCATGCGTGAACACCCACTTTGTTTCTATGTTTTACCTAGATGCATAAATTATATCAATGTGCCGTTGTTTAACTGGCGTGTTGTCGGTTGCTTTTCTGGTGGCTTTTTACTTTATTACCATCATGTTTTTGTTTTAGAATCCGTTGGATCAAATGACGACAACTGAATCCTCGGTACCTCCGCCTCTGCCTGCGAAGGTACAGTATGCTCTTCATTATTTCAAGCTTTGCAAAGATTACAATTCGATATCGTCAGTCGTTATCATTGGTTAATGGATATAGTTTACTGCGTTATTGAAGTTTCCGAACGCTTTTTGAACTTAGTAAACGCCAGTGATGTTTTACTCCCGATTAGTTTTTGGAATGAAATGGTACACACGATATTATGAATGTGAACAAAAAGGCAATGGTGGACACTTTACGCTTTTTTTGCCTTAAATTCCATGCAACGTATAGCTTAACTTATAGCCTGCCAATGCAACTAGTTGTTACCCACTATTAATAGATGCCGTACACATCCCAATGCGTTCTTTGTATTTCCTTAAATCCATATAATATTGTCGTATTTGCACGTCCTCGCGCGAATAAAAGAGACCTTAAGATGTAGAACGGCAAAGCGACGACGACGGCCAAAACAAATTCATTCAAATAAATAATTGTTAAGAAAGCTTATCGTATATTATCAATCATATATGAATTTAAAACAACTTGAAGAGATCAGAGGCTTTTCATTGACTAGAGTTCCACATTAGTACTGAACCAATTATATACACGTACAAACATGCAAACGTTGTGTAGACAAGACGAAAAAGCCCTACGGTTTAGCCGTTGTAAACAGACCGTGAACGACGTATAAATCTTCCGTGGGATTTTAATTATTCATTTCATTTCTTAAATATTATTCATTTCATTGTATTACTAGCCGTCGTCGTCACGTTGCCGTCCCAGATCTTAAGGTCTCTAAAGCCTTCGTTCTTACTGCACTTTTTTCTCGTTCACTTTTTCACGAGACCAAGACAAGGACAAAAATTTTAAAATCTTTAGTGTCAATTCTTTCAACAGACGTATCCGAGTAAGACTTCGACGCTGCCCGGCACAGTGGATGAATTTCTTTCCAAGATAGGATTAGGATGTTATCTCAGTAATTTAGAAGAAAATGGTTTTGATGATTTGACATTTCTGGATAATATTTCTGACGAAGATTTGGCAGATAGTGGTATAACAGACAATGGTCATATAAAAAAGGTATGAAAGTGATGTATTTTTTTAGGCAAATGTTGTTCAAAATAATTAAACTAGCTCTTCTTTCTATTTTAAATGATAATTAAAATGAATGACTTCACTGATAGCTCTGTTAGTTCCAAATTGCTCTGCGTACGTAGCGATCCTGTGCCATCCCTTTGCGTCTCACTTGCTGGAAAGCTTGCGGTGTCTGCATGAACGAATCAAACGGACTCTTAATATCTCGTACCTGAGCTGCTGTTCCACCAACACTCGTGCAAGACTGCAATATACAGGTTTGCTGTAGGAACCCGTCCAATAAACGTCCCTTCAATTGAATGTTTCATGTAATTTCATTTGGGAAAATGTGAGAACAGAACTGAATGTATATATATATTTCGCTGTCCTTTTTGGCTTGTTCAAACCTTTATTCAATGTCATGATTGGATTGAAATTAAAATGCCTATTATAGAATTAGAATAACCTTGACCAGGATTATGTGACCAAATTTAAAAGTAGTACTATTGATTTAAGCGTTTAATTATAGTTTTGTTTTTAGATTTTAAATGAAGTTGAACGGTTAAGAAAAGCTGGGGCTTTTACCTCGTAACGCATTGGAGTATATAGAGACTTTCCTTCTTAAATATTGCAATCACTGATTAATTTATTCAAGAATTAAAACTGCACAAGAATATGTCACGGGTTCAACCAAGTAAATAACTAGTATGTATTATATGCGGTACAAGTATACCAGTTTGTGCTAATTGGAAATAATTGTAATATGAATGAGTATATAGTTACTATTTTGATACTATATATCAGTAGGTTGTGAATAATTGAATTTTTATACATGAAAATAAAGAAGTAAATAACACAATTGTTTTGTGTCCAGGTGCTTTGGTTTCCTCGCCCGGGAGATGACGTCACACGAGGGCGAGAAAACACGCTTGCGAAAGGGAAGTCACCTTGGCTATAGAGCCTCGTTTTCGTGATTCAGGCGTTTAACTAATGTCACATACACGAAAACGAATGGTGTATTCTGGTGGAATTCAGTGGCGTAGCCAGCCCGACAATTATTTGGTCCCGTTATGCAAATTCAAAATTATTATCATTATTCATTTCTTTAGAAATTGATTGTTTTCACAGTCAACGAACACGAAAATATTTGCATAGTGAAACTAAATCGTCGGGTTGGCTACGCTACTGGTGGAATGGACCGTTTGCATTATATACTAAATTTTGATCTAGACAAAAATTTCATCACAGCTTGAAAGAGCATCACACAATTAGTAATATGCCAAAGTTTCGTTGCGAAATGTTGTAAAATGCGGATAATATAGCCTTGCGAAATTTGCAATTTTCAGTCTTTTTGTATTAGTCCAGTCAATCTGTGACCAGAGGTCAAAGAAATTGCAATAGAATTTTTTTCAGTGGTAAAATGTGAGGGAAGGTGTCCTGATTAACAAACTAAAAATAAAAAAAATCCCTTCGGTGGAACATGGTGAAAATCGAGTTTTTTCTTACTTCTACCTATTGAACAGAATGTTGAAATTTTGAAATCATTTTTAGGCAAATGTAACCTACAATATTACAAAGCTTAGAAAAAACTAAAATATAGATCATTAAACGGTTATATTCAATTTACTGGTCAGTTTGTCGTTATTCTAGCTCAAAGTTGGAAAAATAGTGCAAAATTTGCACAAAATACAAATTTATGGCATTTTAAATCTTGTATAACTTCGGCTGGTAGGCAAAAGCAAGATAACCGTTTAATGATCTATATTTTTGTTTTTTCTAAGCTTTCCAATAATGTAGGTTACATTTGCCTAAAATGATTTCAAAATTTCAACATTCTGTCCGCAATGGTTTTCTATCAGTAGAATTAAGAAAAACTCGATTTTCACCATGTTCCACCGAAGGGATTCTTTTTTATTTTTAGTATATGTTAATCAGAACAACTTTTCTCACACTTTACCACTGAAAACAAATCTATTGCAATGACTTTGATCAGGACCATGCATGTACTTATAGTGATTTGACTGGACTAATGCAAAATGACTGAAAAACGGCAAACGTCGCATGGCTATATTATGCTTTGGAATATTACTAATTTTGTGATGCTCTTTCAAGCTGTGATGAAATTTTTGTCTAGATCAAAATTTAGTCTATAATGCAAATGGTCCATTGCGAGCAGCAAACAGTGATCCAAACTGTATATAGAATTTTTGTTTCTGTGTTGGTGTTGTGTACTCAGGTGAATAATATGATGTTTGTGATGTTACTCTGAGTGTAGCTCGCCCGGTGTGGATATACACTCAGAGTAACATCACAAACATCATGTATATAGAATATTTCTATCAACTGGTTTATGAAGATTTAAATGTTCTTCGAATTTTAAACGTTTGGTGGTTGCTTACTTGGAAAGCGTATGGCTTCACTTGTTCAGTCTGCAAATTTCTAGCTTCGTAAAACATTTTAACCATTATTTTTTTAGTGAAATTAAAGTTAAATAATCTTTAAAAAAGTTATATACCAAAACTTGATAATTAACTCGTACGTTGTACCATCTTTATTCAAGTTCTTACAGTAAAGTTGAATCCGTAATAAGAATAACTTCAAAACTCAGACAATATAGTTTTTTATCGCTTCCCTGCATATATACCTGCATATATATTATTAATAAATAAAGGAATTATTGGCATACCAATAAAGATTTTATTGCTTCCTGCACTTGAACTATATAAATAGATAGAAACCTACTGGGATTTTCCCGGGAATTTTGTAATCACATGATTGTAATGCGCGGGAAAACGGATAGGAGTTCGCGGTATTTAGTTGAACTGGAATGCGGGATCGGTTCATTCTGCTCTGCACGTTGGCTGCAAAACATCTCCATCGGAAATCAAGTTTATCTCAAATCAGGTATTGTTTAATTTGTTCAATTTTTAATATCATTATTCTTATAGTACTAGAGTATATTGTTCATAATGTCGGGGTCTGTTGCAAAAATCCTTGTTCTCGGCCATTCTTTTGTTCGTCGTTTACGTGAGGACTTAGACGCGCGATTTGATCAACGTGCGAGTCCTAATTTTCATCTTCCTGAGTCGGGATACGTTCACTTACAGGGCACAGGTGGCCGAACAGTGGACAAAATTATGCAGCATGACCTTCCGTTCGTCCAACACTTTAAGCCAGACATAGTAATTCTGGAAGTTGGTACGAACGACCTATCGAGTTGCGCCCCAGAGGTGGTAGGCTCGAAAGTTGACGATCTTGCGCGCCTTTTCCGCGACAAATACAATGTTCGCGTGGTCGGCGTTTGCCATGTCATCAATCGAAATGTCCCATATTCGCGTTCCCCAGCACCAGACCAGGGTTTTAACACCAAAGCCGCTCGTTTGCGGCAATATTTGTCTGTTGTGCTTGCTGAGGAGCCGGGTATTTTTCTTTGGGAGCATCGAGAATTTTTATACTCAAATCGTGTTTTGCTAGCCAAAGACGGCGTGCATTGTAATTCCAAAGGGCAGTATTCTCTTTACCGCAGCTATCGGGGAGCTATTTTGCGGGCGTTAGGGAAATTATAAGTTTATTGGCTTTAATCTTTAGTAACCATGAAATTATACATAATATATCTTATATACGGATACCATACTGTGGTAATATATTTCGTATCTACAATTTGTTAATTGTTGTTAATAACATATTTTTGTTAGTGGCACTTAATTCCACTTCTGACAATTTTATCTGTGCATGGGAAGTTTTATTTTGTTAGCCTTGTGCTACAGTTATTCATATGTGTATTATACCCCGTCATTCAATATCATATTACCAATTTACTTCCCATTGTTACAGTTTTATGTTCATTTATATGGGCTAGAGCGACTTGCTGTTTTCAGATGCCCACGTTGAGATTCCAACATTGGGTTTTTTCTTCACAGGACGTTTTCATGAATTTCTGGCATTTATATATATGTTTGTTCTCATTCAGTCTGTTCTGTTTTGTATACGTCTGTCACGGCTGTTCTCGTCTAACCTTATTGTGTCACTGTGGCCGTATATATAATTTGCTACTGTTCCTGTGTTAGGAAAAATGCATGTCTACGTGGGATAGAGCGATTATCGTTTTCAGATGCCCACAGTTGAAATAATTTGTTATATTAATAATTATGTTATTCATTACAAAAAATTAATAAACCGGCATGTGCTTATAACGCACATTGCCATAATTATTCCAATTGGTGTACGATTGGTTTATTGCGCAAAAGCCTACGCACAGAAAACAGAGCTCATCATGACAAGGAACTGACAGAGTAGATTAGGATGGATTAAATTTAAGGGAAGCGATAAATAAATAATAAATACCACCATCGGCAAACTGTTTGTCAGGTTGAGCCATATAGTTTTACATTCACATTCAGTTCCATAGGTGTGAAAATGTCATGTTTACTGGTCACTTTAAATCGGATCGTATTTGGCAATTTTTTATCCCAGCCAGTGCCCAGTGGTAGAAAAAAGGTGTCTTGACAGCTTGGCCTTTATTAATATGAAAAAAGTAAATCTATATATAAACTTAATACTTTTAAATTGCTGTGTTGGTGTTGTGTGCGTGATCCATGAAACTTTGTCCACCTCATATTCACCTGAGTACACAACACCAACACAGCAATTCATGATTATTAGATTACATTGATATCGATGGAACTAGACTCAGTTCTGAAATATCACATACTCGAACCGACCTGACCGCGTAGCTCAGTTGGCAGAGCATTGGGCTAGTATTCCAAAGGTCGTAGGTTCGATTCCCACCGTGGCCAGGGATATTTTTCAAGCTTGCCCGGTGTGGATACACACTCATGCAGAGTAACATCACAAACATAATACTTTTAAGTTTTAAAAAACGCACAAAGTTGGCTTACCTTCATACACTCTGTGTACTTGAATACTTGATGTAAATGTTACGAAACATTACTTATACATAAAATTTTAGGTTAAAAATAAAATAACACAAAGATGTTTGCTTGAGAGCAGCTGAAATGCTCGTGCAAGTAAATATTACTAAAAGCCTAATGAGGAGAGATAATGGATATTTGGGCACACGTTAATGTAAGGTAAATATTGATTATTTCCTTCCATTAGGCTGTGACAGTTTGTTGAACTAGCTGTCATTGTACAGTTTATCTTGTGGGCAGATCTGTTTAAACAGAGCAGCTGCCTGAGGTCTCATGAACATTGACCTTTCACGTGGACAGACTCAGGCGTAAAAATGAGTCATTCCAAGCCACTCGGTCACGAAATCTACATATTACGTCATAGAAACTAGTTCGATAAAATTACGAGTAAATTTAGTTTAGTAGGTAAAGTAAGGGTCACATAGGTATAGTTTGAAGTTTTTACTATAATACTTTGATAAGTATTTTAAGTTGTGAACCTGTTTTGGTATCGATCGATTGAACAGTAGACCGACTTGACCTGTACGACAACGCATTAAACAAACAGACTATGAGGGCTGGGACGAGCTAACGACGCCAACCCACGCTCCCGCAGCTCAACGTCGATTGGTTGGATATGAATCATCCCACTTGTTAGACCACGTGTACAATGATTCCCTCAACCGTTAGTATAAAAGGACGTGCACAATCCAAATTCGTCAGTGGACGTAGACGAAGTAAAGCTTAAATGATGAAAAGCTACGAAAACTCATAACGAAACAGCACGGACAAAGAAGACAAGCTAAAGACAACGAAGATTTAAAGGCTGAAGTGAACTTTAAAAAACTACTACAAGAAGAACCTGCCTGAACACGAAGGAACGAACAGTATTGAACAGTTAAGAATTGTTAGTTATCTAAATTTGATGTAACGATTCCCTATACCTCGCGTAGAAAATAAATATATTCCTAACATAAATAATAGTAAATTGTAAATATTTATTAGTCATATAAAGTACAGTGTTATAATAATTGTGTGTTTTAATTATTTTATTTTTATTATTTGCATGAAAATACTGAATTATGATTGCTAAAGAGGGGGTATATATATGGAAGCAAATAACCAATTTGTGAAAGGTGATTTACAATGGCGGTCGAACAAGAGTGTGACTTTCTTCTTTTCACAATTTCAGCTGAGCTTTATCAAATAAAATTCCAAATATAAATAGTTGAGAATGAATGTAGCGAGTATCCAGAATAAATATTTTCAAGTAAAAGAAAAATACAGTGTATGTGTTAGAAAGACGTAGGTGAGTAAAATTTCTAATTTTGTCATGCAAATAATAAAAAACTAATCGACCTGTACATTTAAGTATATAGCGGTAGCTTGTAAACCATATCCATGCATTTTTATGCAAATGTGTTTTCCTACAGCTAGCTGGGTATATATAAGGCGACAATAATAAAGTTTGGTTTCCGATTCCTCGATGTGCACGAATCTGCAGAAAATGATGTGCCACATAGGTGTGCCACATTATATAGTCTCTCCAGACCTATATATAGAAACCCTTTACCTTATTACGTAATTTCAGTTAAAAAAAAGATGGCGAACTACACGCTTTTTTCTGATCACATATTTTTAAAGGAAGAGATTATTTCGCTGGCCTCAGAGTGACAAAACGTAACAAAACAACGGTTTTACTAACACTAGCCCTACTCCAAACACCAACTCTAACCATAACCGTAATCCTAACCCTAACCTAACCCTATGCCAAATTTGTTTCTAAACTAATCTTGAAGAAAAAAGTTTTGACGAAATGTCATTCTGAGGTCAGCGAAATAGTTGATGCCATTTTTAAAGCCCCAACCATGCAAACAAGGTAAAAAAAAATCGTAAAGCCTAAAGGCTTTTTTATCATTTTAAAAGCTCTTTCAAATCGCACAAATTTAATTTTTATTATCATATTCTTTAATTCATATTTTAAAAGCGTTAGCTCCACTATTCACTAACAATATGTACAACTACAAGTACAAACAATTTAAAGGCCCGTTTGAATCTTCCCAACAGGAATCGGTGGATGCAATATGTTGGGTCGAACATGCGTAATGTTGGCTCATGCATGATGTAAGACATTGTAATCAGCAGGTTCGACGTAATGAAAATTTTCATCCAAGAACTGGTTTCAACAACGAGCCTTTCTAACTACCAAAATGGCAAACTGATAATGACAAAAACTATTTCAGGTTACATAATATCCTTTACGCGCTACCTGCATGGTTATTTAAAATAACGAAATTATCATGTAACTTTGCATACGCTTTACTACTGCATGTACACGCGTATTCTACTATATAAAACTGTATTTCGTTATCTTTAGGCTATTCATCTCTGTGGACTTTTCAGTTATTATAGTTGCTAGAATAAAAAAGATAAACTTTGTTAAAATAGATTAGGTGAGCGAAGTGCCGAAGGAAAGAATATAGCAATTAAGTAATGACTATAATGGCATTTTTAAACTATTTTTAATTAACTATTTTATAAGGAACTTTTTAAAGTACCTTGAAGGTGCATAACATATTTAAACTACATATCACCATATGTTTAATTTATAGTCATGTTCAGGTTCATACAGTGAAGTTGCATGTATACAGCACAGTGCCTTTTTTAAGGAATTTTCACTGGGGGGGGGGGG